AAATTATAAATTGACAATGTCAAACTCTTACAAAGAAAACTTACATAAAATTTTGTATAGATGGCACTTGCCACCAGCAAGATTAGCAAAAATGTTTAAAAATATGTCAGATAGACATTGGGAATGTAAACATAAGTCAGGTACTTATTACCATCTATGGTGGACATGTATTAAAGCAAAGAAATATTGGACAAAACTACATACTTGGCTAGAAAAGATGTTGGGAAAACATGTAGATTTTTAAACCTGAACTTTTTTATTAGGTATAATGTCAGAAAAGCTTGATAAATAAAGTATATATTTGATTTTACATGTGATAAAAGCAGCAAGAATCATATTCACACAATATTGGAAAAATGAAGAAATACCACCATAGGGAGAAATAATTAAAAAAATACTAGACTCTGTGGAAATGGACAGACTTACTTTGAGATTGAAAGAAAAAGAAGAAACAGAATACTTTCAAACTTGGGACTTATTTTATCAATGGCTGGAGAAAAGAATAAGGGATTAGCAATCCAATTTGTATTAGTGAATAATAAACTCAGACAACACGTTTGTTGAATAAGTACTTTTGAACTGTATGAAAAAATCAATAAAAACTTAAATAAAATAAAATAAAATAAAATGTATACATAACCTTTTGGTACCTTTTAAGATTAAAAATATAAAGTATAAAATTCAGCATTGAAATAGCAGAAAGATATACACTATACTTCCTAAAGCTTTCCAAATAACCTGCATGAAACTCTTTTAAAAACATAGAACAAGAACTGGTGAGTTCTTAAAGTCTGTTGAAAACTGATAAGTACATTATAAGTATGACCCAGCAAAATATTGAAAATGACAGGCTAAATTAGATAATGTTTCCTAGTTTATGAACAAGGCCAAATAGTGCAGAAATACAAGATTGTTCTATCCTATTTTTCAATAATAGCGATTTCCACAATACTTGTGGCTAATTTAATCCTGGCTTACTTAGCCCCTCTAAGTTTATATTACACGTTGATTGAAATCAAAACACAAGTAACCACGCATAATTTATTGTGGTTCAGTATATTATGTAAACACAGCCAGTCTTGAAGGATATTTACAGACTGTGGTAGGAAATCTCTAATTGGATGCAGCAGCTACCAAGTAATATGCATTATTTTCTCAGTTTATAAATTTAATAAAGATTTTCCAGGTCAACCAAGAATTGGGCAGTGATAATTAAAGCAAAATAATTGAAATGGGACCTGAACATTCTGAGTTATTCTAATCACATATGGGTAAACATAGTTGCTTAGACTGTCTGATTCTCATACAGTAAAAGAAGCAGGAAAACCTAAGATTATTTTATGCATTTGTCCTGCAACAGTTAGAATGGCTGTGAGCTCTGCCACCTCTATTTTGGACCCATACATTTCATAGTGGGTTAAGGTTTTCCAGGAGGTGAAATGTGGTTGTCCAAGCCTTCATGTGGGAAAGGATTGTTCTGCTGGTCTTGAAGGAGACAGTGGTTCAACCTCATATGGCATCCTTTGACCCAGCTGTGATGGTCAACTTTTGTCTAGTTTCCAATTTTCCCTTTTTAAGGAAGATTGTTGAAAGGGGTGAGAAGTACTGAGCTCTTAAAGAATTTACAAGCAGCATAGTGGAAGAAGCTGATCCCTTTGAGAGTTCAGCATTGAACCTTCTTGTGAACAACCTCTGGAAGACTCAGGGTGGTGGCAATGCATCCATCTTAGCCGTCCTGGTTCTCTTGGCAGTATCAATACAGTAAAGAGCCATATCCTTTTGAACTGGTTTGGGAGGTTGGGAGTGAAGCATCGTACTTATAGTAGTTCTCTTTCCTCCATGGCCAGTTCTAGTCTGTGTTGGGGGAGAAATCAAGCTCTATGTCACTCTTATGTTGGGTACCTCAGAGCTCAATTCTCTCATCCCTTATTTACCATCTACATGAACTGGCAAATTCATTCCGTAGTTTGAGGTAAAGTATCATCAATAGACATATAGTTTTTATCTCTTTCATTCATTCCATGAATTGAAGTGGAGTATCACCAAAAAGCTGATTATGTATAATAGTGCCTCTCTGCCCCAGGCCAGATGGGCAGTGCCAGTGTAGGTGTGTACCTAGTACTTGGAGGCTGTAAGGGTCTGAATGGGCAGAAACTAGATGGAACACCACCCTAGCAAGAAGTGTGACCCTGGGTTTCTGGGGTCCCTGGATCTGAAGAGTTACTATCTAACTCTGGATGAGATAGCACTCCTTCATACAGAATTGGTGTATCATTTGGGCTCACAGCTGAGTCCTGCTCAAGAAACAGGAGGCAGCTATGGCCCAGAAGCCTTTTGTGCAAGTTTACTTTCACTCATGCCCTAATCACTCCCCATTTGGACTGCTGCAACACATTCTACATGAGGATGCCTTTGAAGATCATTTAGGAACTGCATTCAACTAGTGCAGAATTCTGGGTGCTCTGCAATTTGCCCATGCTGCACTGTTGCTGCATGAACTTCCTGTTTCTTTCTGGGTACAATTCAAAGTCTTGAAATCACTTTTAAAGCCCTACATATCACTATAGATTATTTTTGGGATGTCTTCCCCTGCTGGGTTGCATTGGGTGCACTCACTCCAGGTCCCCTTCTGTTGGGACCTAGAAAGCTTTTCCATAGCTGTGGTTGTGAAACAACTGCCCTCCTGAGGTGCAGAGGAATCCTACCCTTCTAGAAAGCTGCCTTTTCCCTCCGGCATTAAATCATCTATGGTTTTGTGACTGGATTACAGGTAGTCCTTGATTTACAATTGTAATAATAATAATAATAATAATAATAATAATAATAATAATAATAATAATAATAGTAATAATAATAGTAATAATAATAATGACGACGACGATGATGATGATGATATTATTGTTGGAAGGGACCTTGGAGGTCATCTAGTCCAACCCTCTGCTCAGGCAGGAAACCCTATACCATTTCGGACAAATGGCTGTCCAGTCTCTTCTTTAAAAGTTCCAGTGTTGGAGAATTCACAGCTTCTAGAGGCAAGTTGTTCCACTGGTTAATTGTTCCAACTGTCAGGAAGTTTCTCCTTAGTTCTAGGTTGCTTCTCTCTTTGGTTAGTTTCCATCTGTTGCTTCTTGTCCTGCCTTCAGGCACTTTGGAGAATATCTTGACTCCCTCTTCTTTGTGGCAGCCCCTGAGATATTGGAACACTGCTTCATGTCCCCCCTCGTCCTTCTCTTCATTAAACTAGACATACCCAATTCCAGCAACCGTTCCTTATATGTTTTGGCCTCCAGTCCCTTAATCATCTTTGTTGCTCTTCTCTGTACTCAGTCTCAACATTTTTTACATCATGGGGACCAAAACTGGATGCAGTATTCCAAGTGTGGCCTTACCAAGGCATTGTAAAGTGGTATACTTCACATGATCTTGATTCTATCCCTCTGTTAATGCAGCCTAGTACTGGCTTTTTTGACAGCTGCAGCACACTGCTGGCTCATATTTAAATGATTGTCAACTAGGACTCAGAGATCCCTTTCACAGTTACTACTATTGAGCAAGGTACCACCTATACCAGGGGTGTTAAACTGCCGTGGGCCAGATGCGTCATGCCAAAACCGCGTCCACCCCAGCTCTGGCAATGGGGAAAAAGTCACAATACATCGCGACACGTCATATGATGTTGTGAGTTTGACACCCCTGACCTATACTATACCTGTGCATTTGGCTTTTCTTGCCTAAATGTAGAACCCTATTTTTTTCACCATTGAATTTTATTTTGTTAGATAGCACCCAATGTTCAAATCTATCAAAATCCTTCTGTATCCTAAGCCTGTCTTCTGGAGTGTTGGCTATTCCTGCCAGCTTGGTGTTGTCTGCAAATTTGATGAGTTCCTCATCTATCCTCTCATCCAAATCATAGATGAAGATGTTGAAGAGCACTGGACCCAGAACAGAGCCCTGGGGCATCACACTTCCCTCCATATAGATGCAACTCTATTGAGGACCACACGCTGAGTATGGCCAGTCAGCCAGCTACAAATCCATCTGGTGGTGATGCTTTCTAACCCACATTTTGCTATCTTATCAAGTAGTAGGTTGTGGTCTACTTTATCAAATGCCTTACTGAAGTCCAGGTAAATTATATCCACAGTATTCCTCTGGTCCATTAATTTTGTCACCTGGTCAAAGAATGCAATTAGATTTGTCTGGCATGATCTGTTTTTGACAAACCCGTGTTGGCTTTTGGTAATGACTTTGTTTGCCTCTAGGTATTTGCTGATTCGTTGCTTGATATTGAGGTCAGGTCGATAGGTCTGTAGTTTCCTGGATCCATTTTTTTTCCTTTTTGAAGATGGATACTACATCAGCTCTTTTCCAGTCCTCTGGTAGTTCCTCAGTGCTCCAGGATATTTGAAAGATATAGTTCAGTGGTTCTGAGATCACATCTGCCAGTTCCTTCAGAATCCAAAATTTATGTTGCTAAGCAAGACATTTGTTAAGTGAGCTTTGCCCCATTTTATAACTTTTCTTGCCACAGTTGTTAAGTGAATCGCTTCAGATTAGTAACGTTTGTTAAGTGAATAAGGCTTCCCCACTGACTTTGCTTGTCACAAAAATTACATGACACCAACAACACTGCAATTGTCATAAATGTGAGCCATTTGCCAAGAGTCTGAATTTTGATCATGTAACTATGGGAATATTGCAATGGCTACAAGTGTGAAAATAGTCATGTTTTTTTTCCAGCACCTTTGTAACTTTGAAGTCACTAGATGAATGGTTGTAAGTCAAAGACTACCTGTATAATGCTTGAGGGTAGGATAGGTTTTTAATTTTTTAAATTTTGCTATCTGTATATTTGTTGCTAGCCATCCAAAGTTATTATACATAATATGGGTGACCATTCAAATATTTTAAATAAATGAGAAAGCTTTTAAAAGACAAATTATTAGTTTATTTGTGGCCATGCAAATAATCAATTTTAATTGTTAATAAAATGTAATTGGCACAAGTTGGTCAAAATGAACCATTTCCTTATTAGTGTAACATTTAGCCATTTCTTTTATAACAAGAACATATAATTATATAACATGAGCATCACCTGCTGTTGAAACAAGCGTTGTGTCATCATATAAAAGGAGTATTGTAAATACTCAGTGAGCAAGTCCCTAGATGTGTGATTAATAGTACACTTTATATAATACAGGGCTTTTTAAAGATGCAAGTCTGAACACAGTTTGCAAATCTGTGGAGACACATATGATCTATATTCATCCTGAAAGTAGGACTTGTAAAGGTCTGGCAATTGGTAGTTTGTTTCAAAAATGATAAGCAACAGACTTTTTAAAAGCCCAAAGGATAAATTAGCTGGTTTTCAATGAAGAAAAAATCTGTGGGTTTATTTTCTGTTATTTCATTATTTTCATACAAGTACAATCTTAGGAATCATGTCCGACAAAAGGAAGGGGATGTTAGCATTCTGAAGTAGACTATCATTGTGGGTAGCCTATATGTGCTTGGCTATTCTTCCGTAAGTAATTTAAAATATTTTTCAAACTAGCTTTTGATTTTTGGAACAGTTGTTGGATTGCCTTTTGGGTCTGGGTCTTTTTCTTGTCAGACATTCATTAGCAAGACGTATACCTGAAGTCATAATTGTTAATTGAATTATGATTTATTCAATTCCATTTTCTGGGTTCGTATAATTCACTGATTAATAAACCTACAGTACTACATTGGACAAGTTCACACCACCTACAAGCCTAAAACATGTTGATTAGTTTATGGCTTACAGTGTTGTACAAATGCAAAGGTGCCTTTAGCTGCAGCTGCCCAAAAGCATCAGTTGTCTCCATATTAGGAAAAACACCATTAGCTGATTTGTATATGTTACCCTAACCTTAACAAATAACATGCACATTTTTAATGATCACAAAGTTCACAATTATTAATTTGCACACCACCCAAATTCCGAATGACTGGTAGTTAGAATGCCCACTCACATCTATGTAATCAAAATATTTAAAGTATGAGAAATCTCATTATTAACGTGGCATTTAATTAGTAAGAAAGAGCTTTGGGTTATAAAAATAAACATCCTTGGGTTACCATAAGAGTTCTCTAAATTCCAGAAACCCAGAAGGCATAACAAGACTACAAGTATGACAGAAAACCACTTGTACTCATCAGTCAACAGGGTGAATTATAAATCATAAATTACTATTATGAAGTTGCTACCTGGTCAGATTTAAAATGACAAGTTCTGCTGAATGCCTGTCATTTAATGGAGAAAACAGGAATATTTTTGAATTGTGCAGTGCATGAAATATGAATAGAGGGGATTTCTTTTTACTTTGTGATGCCTGGCATAATTTTTAGCTGGATCCTATCTCAAAATGGTTGGAAGCTATGCTGTTGAATCTCAGTAAATTTACAGGGGCAGTCCTCCCTCCCTTTTCTCCTGCTTTAATAATAGAACTAATCTAATACTCATAATCAGTATTATTGGTAAGTAGCCTTTATCTCTGTACATGTGAAGGAAAAAAAAAAGACCAAAGCTATGGGAAATGAGAATTGCAAGAAAAAAGCAATGGGCAACACAAAATTTATGAAAGGAGATTAAGATAAACATTCTTGGACTAGATTTTTAAGAATGTGTCCATGCCAATTACTCAGAATAGCTGATTTCTATTTTTTAGGCTACATTCTGATGTTTAGCGGGATTGTTTTTGAATCCAACAAACTATAAATGGGGCTATTAGTAGAACTTTGTGCAGTGTATAAAAATCACCCCTGCATTTCATCCATGAGCAGGGCTCTTATGTCGAAGATAAACACATCAGATTTAGAGACACGTCAGATGTAAACTCCGTCATATTCCAGGTAGAAAAGAAACAGCATCCCTGGATACATTTGGTGCGTTTGGCTTGTACTGCGGATCTTTTGAGCCTAAATCTTCCGTTATGCATGGTCAAAAGAAACTCGGGATGGGAAAATTTCTATAAATCTTCTACGGAGAGGGGGAAGATTAATCGGAGAAGCGTTCGAACCACTATTCCTTTACAGAAACTACGGCGCCATCGACGAAAGACTGCAGCGGATGAGACTACGGTACTGTCAGCAAGGAGAGTAGGGTGTGGTTTGGACGAGGAAGTTCCGGGCAGCCCCTTCTGCAACTCTACTGCGCCTCCTGGCGGCCACTTTGCTTCGGCTCAGTCCAGCCAAGGGCCCCGTTGCCAATTTAACTGCAGTCGCAGCGAAGGAGGCGCCCAGCGCTCCCGCCCTCCTCCTGCCTGCAACTCCCCCTCCACCGCTTCCCTGCGAGTTGACTCGGCACAGTAAGCGCAGGGCCTGAACCCAGGCCCGTCCCGTTCGTCCCGTCGCCGTCATGGACATGAAGAAACGGATCCACTTGGAGTTACGAAACCAGACTCCGCCGGATGTAAGCCTGGGCGGGAAAATGGGAAGTCGGGGACGTCCTCCTCCTTTTTCAACAGCTTGTTCTCTTGCCAGCCGTACAGGCGCACACCGGCCCGGGGAAAGCGGGCTGGTTTTAAATTTAAAGCGCGGAGGGGAGGGGGGGTTTGAAAGAGCACGCATGGCGGTCGCTGCTAGTCCGCGGGCGAGGGCAGGAGCGCCGCAGCTGCGGCCGCAGGGCAAAACGAACGTCTGACGGACTCGAGGAGGGACTCCGTGGCCGCCATGTTTCCGCTGCTGCGTCGGTCCCGCGAGCGTGGGGCTGCTGCGGCGGAGGAGCGAATAGCGCCTCGCTTGCGCGCGGCAACCGCTTCGTCTGCCGCCCACGGCGCGCGTTTCTCCCCCTCTTAAACGGGCAATCGTCGCGCGAAAGGGGCGCGCGCTCTTTCTCGACGCCGCGTCCGTTGCCTCTGGCCGGGCGCGTGCGCTCGGGCCTTCGCGCCTGTGTGCGTCCTCTTTAAACGGGCCACAGTTGCAGAGAGCCGGGCGCGCGCGCCCTCTTTATAACACTCTCCCCACCAAATCGGCGTTCCCGCCAAAAAGTTCATCGTAAACTGAAGGTGCTTTTCAGCCAAATCTAAGCTCTGATGGCCTCCCTGGGAAGAATTTGAGAGATTTGTAAACGATGCATTTCCAGTTGCAACACCCTGAAGTTGGCCTCGAAGGGCTTTTGTGGTGCAAAATATTTTGCAACCTAATTTTTAAAAAGCAGTAAAAGGGACGATACTTTAGTCTTTAATGGCTACTTTACCAGGACGATTGGACCAGAAAAGTATGTTCGTGCTCTGAAGTCTATTTAGATTATTTTTAAATAAAAATTCCTATTGAATATAAATATACTACCAGGCATTGTTAAAATCTAAATCAAAGGTTTTTCTGTTTTTTAATCTGCCTGTGGTTTTCTGTCATATCTGAACTTTAGCCATGCTGTTGCTTCTTTTTTTAACCCTTTATATTTTTCAACAGCCTTTATATGTACTCTGGTGCCAGAAAAAAAAAAACCTACACATTCCACTTGTTTATTTTAAGGCAGGAACTATAAGTTGTCAATGTGTCTCCTCTCATGTCTTACTAAAATATTTGTCTGCATAAAAATACTAACAAAAATCAGCATGGTATCCCAGAAGATAAACAAGATACATACTTGTACTCTATACAGTACTCTTAAGTTCATATCTGCTGAGTTTTGGTTTCTCCCACTAAAATGGAGGCAATTTCTGGCAGGTATCTTAAAATTGTCCTGTCTGTTACTTCATTCTTTATGCATCTGGTCAGCCCAAGGCAGTTTCAAGTCTGCTCAAAAGAGCGTGTAGTAGAGCAGACATGTCAAATAGAAGACCCGGGGGCCAGATGTGGCCCACGAAGTGGTTTCATGTGCCCCGCAAAGCCATCCTGGAAACAGTGAGGGAACGGCCCAGGCCGGCCGGGAGCCAATGTACAATTTTGTGGTGGCCATCTATGCTGAAATGCATTCAGTCTTAGCTCCACAAGGCTATCTGGAATCAGTGAGGAACCAGCCCCTGCCGCAACAGCCCTACTCCCTGGGTGCATGCTGGGGAGGTGTCATCCTTTGTGAGGAATGAAGAAATGTACCATCACCTGGAAGTGGCCAGCAAATGGCCCTCGCCTACTTCACATATCCAGCTTGATGGGCTCTGGGGGAGGGGTTTCGGCAGGCAGCGGGGCGTTCTCATAGCGCTAAGAGGCTGAGCTGGGCAAATCCAAAAAGAAACGCGAGGCCGCCCAGCTCCCAACATGCCCGGTTTCAGCAGACAGCAGGGCGCTCTCCTCACAGCGCCAAGAGCTGAGCTGGGTGGCGCGAATCTGATGAGAAGTGCAATGCTGCCTAGCCCCCAGCCTACCAAGTTTCAGCAGGCAGCAAGATGCAAAATTGGTGAACTTCGCACCGCCTGGCTCAACCTCTCGGCGCTGTGAGAAGAGTGCCCTGCTGCCGGCTGAAACCACACCCACTCCATCCACGCCCACCTAGTAGGCCACACCCACCTGGCCTCCCGAGGGCAACCGCAATGCTGATGCGGCCCTCAATAAAATTGAGTTTGACACCCCTGTAGTAGATTATTCTCTTAAATTTGGAATGAAATAAGATTCTTCAAAGTCACCTTTGATCTTGATTTTTTGTTTCACATATGGACACTTTGAAGAGATGAATATTTATAAGATACTAGTGTTCTTTAACATAATATACTTATCTGTGGTTAACTTAGCCAGGATGACTTTTTTTAACTCTGAAACATAATAGGAATTGTACAAAATTAAGATGGAATATATATCTATTATTGCATGGACTGAGTGTACTGCATGGTATGCTAATGTTGCTAAGGGTTATGTTAATTAGTAATTCAGCCACTACCATGTTCCTTTCTAAGGCCCTTAAAAAAGTGGATGGCTTTTTAAATACGAGAGCATTTATATTTAGAGAGTTTGCCAAATTATTTTAAAGTGTAATGCAATATTCTTAAAGTGGTACATATAATATTTTGTTAATGTTTATATAAATATTGCTCAATGATTTGTAAATATGGAAAGAACATTTACAATTCAGTATGACTAATGTGTTTAAATACTTTTTGTAGAAGTTAATTATAAAGATCAGTAGGTATTTATGTGGTGTCTCTAGTAAAGGACAAACTGATAATTTTATAACAGTTTAGTTCAAAATGCATTATATTGCAAACTTTGAAAATACCTTGTTTGGAAACTGATTATGAGAGTCTATTGTATACTCTGTGTGCTGATTTAGCAGTTTGAAAAATGCGTAGTTGTATTAATTACTTCCTTAGCACTGAATTTGGCCTCTGTTTCCTAGCTTTGAAAGTTCACTCAAAACATGGAGACAGTCTTGTTTTAATTTCATAAAATTATTTTTTTATGAAGGAACATGATTTGGCTATTCTTATCTGCTAAAATAAATAGGAAGCATATAATGATAACAGTTGAAAGGCAGTCAGTGCTGTATTATATATAAAAATAGATATGTTTTAAAATAATGGTAGTAAAAGATAGCAAACAAATTTTGAACATCTTTTGTCATTGCATTTTTTTTTCTTATGAACTTACTGCAGAATTATCTTATGCAGAGACCTGCATTCTGCTGTAATACTAGACAGCTTTGGGGCTGAACCAAATTTGGATGAGCAGATATAATCCCTAGTATGCCTCTTTTTAGTGGGAAGATGTTTGCTGATTTTCACACGTAAGCCTTGTGGCTGCAGAAGTTGTTGCCTGTATTGGTTAAGGATTATGTAGAATTATCTAACCAGATTGTCATTGCTCGGCAAAAAATGGGGAAGGTTATTTATTGGAATTAAAGTACATTGATATGAAATTGAAGCTTCTGCTTTGACAATAAAGTTGTGGGCTAGACTGTTTTATTAAGAATTTTCTGGAACAAATCTCTCCAATATATTCTTAATTTCCTTATTATCTCATATCTTATTTCTTAATTTTTTTAGATGTCTACTATGTATACTAGCAAAATGTTTAACCATTTTAATGGATTTTTAAAGTTTTAATATTCGTTAATGATAATGATTTTATATATTTATTGTTTTAGATTTGGTTTATGCTGCCCAGAGTCCCTTGCTCATGAGATAGGTGGCTCTATAAGTGCATAAATGAATAAATAAGCATATTAGTAAATTGGGTCTCTGCATATTCTCTTTTAACTTCAAGTGCAGTCTCCTTCATAATAAAAGAAATGGACCAAACTGATTTTTATGTTGCTAGAAATAAATTTTAACATGTATGCCAAAAAGAATAGCTTTTACACATTCCTTATTATAATAGTCTCTGAAGTTTTCTAAGTTTTCTGTAATGAATAAGCAGAAGTCCTAAAATCATCCAATAGAAAGTAAAATGTTCCCAAATAGAGAGATGAGATTGTACTGTAACTTTACAGTATGTAATTATAACTTGATGGAAGATTATAACCTAAGAATTACAGTATGTCTTTTTTATCCATTCTAATTTTGAAATCCAAAGTATAATATAAAGTGTTTAAATTCCTCAACTAACTACAATGTATTTGAAAACCTAATTCCACACTGGGCATAACCCTATTTTGTGACAAATGTGTTTGAATGAATGATCCATGGCACACGAAAAATTTTTGAGTAGAGCTTAGATTTTGAAATCTACATTAATTATCATTAGTTTGTATGGGGAGTATGTGTTTAAACTTTACATTCATGAAAGCCAGCAATAAAGTCAACTGCAAAATGAAGTTCTATCATTTTGCATACAGTTTCAAAAATGTACTGGGAGATGTCAGAGGCCCATGTGAATAGAACTTTATGCATTTGAGGCAGGTAGAGCTAATTAATGTTCATGCTCCATGAGCTAATTGAAATGACTTGCTTGTAGAAGTGCAGATTTTTATCTAATTCAAATCAGATAGGTATGCTAGTGCAAAATTCCCAAACTAGTCAAAGATGAATAATATTATTTTTACAGGTGAGATACACTGAGGTAAAAAAATGAATAATTAGCAGATTTTTTTTCCATGAAGAGAATCCCTAAATCTATATTTTTTTAAACTTAAATTATGTTTGTTGAAAGTAGAAATATGAACACAAATATGAACACAAAGACAGAATTTTAAAAAATTAAATCTAATTTTAGTAATCAGACACAGACATACAAGTTTTAATCTGCATTAACATAATTGTACAGAGAGTGGGAGAACTATGCTGATTGGAAAGCTCCAAATTCTATCTAAAGTTAGATTTCCATCCTTCGTTATCTTCATCAAATTTCTAACTTTCACAAACAAATTATGTAATTCTAACCAAATCTACATCCTGACTTACGTTTTGTTAGAGCAGATTGTTTTCTTACAGTAACAGTAGTGCAGGTACAAAGATTTCCTCATTGCTGACACACTGGGTTCTTCAGGTTCGTTTCCTGAAGATTTTGTCTCAGCTTATTTGGCAGGATAACCATATTTGAGGATAAGCACTGTCCCAGAACTATAACCAGAACTACAAGTGATTTGATATCAGTACTTTAAGGTTCTTTTCTCACAGGGCTTGCAATTCTTGTCGCAATCTTTTTCCTTCTACTACATTTCCTGCTGATCTGCCTTCGAGATCTCCCTTTACGAAGAGGCAAATGCCTATTCAGTCTTAGTTTTCAAGGACTTTTTCCATTGAATGAAAAGTAATGTTTTGATTCTCTGAATTTATTTATAAGCATAATTGCCAAAGCCTTCAATCATAAACAAAAACTATTTTATGTGTTTCATATAACACAAACATACTGTAAATATATACTTATGCAGACTTTTACAGAAGTTAGTATCTTATTATAACACTGATGTTAAATCTAAAATGCCCACAGGTTCCACATCACCCTGCTAACCAAACCAATTAAGGAATGCCCTTAGCCATATTTTTAGGCAGGAGTCAAAATGGACTGATAGAGCCTGTTGCAAATTATTCTTATACTGTAATCTCTCTTGCTTATTTTTGTTGCACATCTCATATTGAGATGTGATCTCAAAGAAAGAAACTGCTTTAGATAATTAAGTAGGTAATCATTGGTTTTATTTACCTGCTGCTCTAGCTTAGGAGGGCACTGTTGCTCTGTTTCATTAGGACCTTTAAAATTCTCACTGAATAGTTGTCCAATTAAATGGTGTTCAGCCTATTTTGTTTTCATATTAAGCAAGGGGGGGAAATTTTGGTGGCTAAGGATCATATTTAACATTTGGAAGACGCTTGAGGTCTACAGTAGCCAAGGTAATTATACTGATGGGTGGGACTGTGATTTACATTTTTAGTTTTTTGGGTCATGTATAGAGTCTGAATTTTTTTAAACCTACTTTATCAAGCAAGTCTCACTGGTAAGAGTATTCCATAGAGGGCATTGTTGGCACTCCCCTTTTTTCTTGAAATCATCCATCTTGCATCCCTGGATGAAGGTGGCTTGCGAAGGCCCTGTGGTACAATCATGGAATCCTGGTGGGCAACATAGAAAACACCCTTTCAGATAAACAGTTTTAAACTATTCATTTCTTATATGCTAATATCAACACCTTGAACTGAGCTTGGAAACTGATTGATAGTAGAGGTGGCAAAGTACAGTAATGGTATGATATGATTGAGCATATTTTTTATTAATGTATTTAAGTCAGTGCTCCCCAACCTTTCTGGCTCTGAAAGGCAGTAGAGGGGGGAAGGGGATGGTTTTGCATGCTCGCCCACCACTTGCACGGCCTGCTTCCCAACAGGCCATGGCCTGGGTTCAGGCTGCAGACTGGGTTGGGGTGGCCTGATTTAAATCATTTTGGGGCTTATTGTTTATTTTTCATGTCACAGATGTGTTTTCAGCAATTATACTCAAGGTAGTTCCAGGAGCTAAAAAAGGAGGTTCAAGGGTTGTAGATTATCAGATCTGCCCTAAGAAATAGGAGGAAGTTTTGGACCCATCATTTTCACTACAGGCTCAAGGGGTGCTCACAGCACTTTTTATCATCTTTGGCTGATAAAGCCACTATGACATAATTGGACACAAATAGCTTTGCAGTAGTTATTCATGCTCTAGTAACCACCTATTTATATTATTATAACACACTATACTTGGAACTGCCTTCGAAACAATGTAAAAACTCCATTTAGTTAAAAACAAAGTACAATAGACTACTAATAGGCTTATACTATTACATTATATTGTTATTTTGCCATTTATACTGTCCTTTCAGGTCTAATTGAAAGTGCTGGTATTAATATACATAAAGATCTAAGTGGCTTTGGGGGCAGCATATCTAAAAGAGCATGTCCTATATTTACTTACCAGAATTCCAAGACCTTCACCCAAGGACCTTCTCCCTCTAGTGAAGTTGGATGGTTGCAAAACACTTGTAATGGTGCCTTGGCTATGGAACACAGTGAAGCTTGTTTGTTGCTTCATTATGGTATTTTTAAATTTTATTTGTATGCTGCCTTTATTATTTTTACATTTAACTCAAGATGACAAAACATATCCAACACACTTTCTTCTCATTTTTTCCGCACAACAACAACCCTATGAGGTAGGTTGAGAGAGAGTGATTGGCCCAAATCACACAGTTGACTTCCATAGCTAAGATATCCTCTTTATTATTTATTGCCATTAGTGGTGCTCTTGGTTTGCTGACATCTAGTACATTGCTTTATATATTGTTTTATATTTAATTGATTATGCATCATCCATAGAATTCCTGATATTGAGAGTTATAAAAATACAACAAATAAATAATAACTTCATTGTCTGTATGTGTGTGTGTGTGTGTGTTTCAGGTCAAAGAGCTTGTTCTTGATAACTGCAGATCAAATGATGGCAAAATTGAGGGACTCACAGAAGAGTTTGTGAACTTGGAGTTTCTCAGCTTAATAAATGTTGGATTGCTCTCTGTCTCAAATCTCCCTAAACTCCCCAAATTGAAAAAGGTAATGATCTTGTCTGTTATTTTATTAAAGAGCAGAATACCATGAAAAAAATGTCTAAATGATCATTAACGGTTGACTCCAACTTAATAACATGCAACTCAGTTTGGAGGGAAAGAAATCTCCTTAGTCTTCCTAATTACTTTTTTATAATGATTCTTATACTAAACCTTTTGGGACTAACAGCTCCCAGCACTATCAGATTGTCTAGTAAGATCTGGAAAATAGGGTTCGGTTTGGGCTCACAGTTTAAATGAGAGTTACTATCAGCGATCATGAAGATGGCCCTTTTCTCTTGCTGCCTTTCTGTGGAACAATCTTCCCTGCAGAATTAGATCAGTACTAATTCTATTAAAACCTGGTTTTCCCAGGAAGACTTTAAAGCTTGGATCCTCTTTGTACTATGAATGATTCAGCTAGTTGATATAATTATCCCTTAGCACAGAAAGACTTGAAATAAGTTATATTATGTTAATGTTTTTTTTATCTTAGTTGTCTTCTTTGGATCCAGTTGTAAAATCTTGATTGTTCTTTGAAGCTTTGAAATTCTCTGGAACACAATATAATTAAGTTTGAGGAGAAAGTGATAAAAAAAATGCTGGAACAATGAACATGTATAAAAGGAGCCATTCTAGGAAAGCAGTTTTTAAGCTCTGCATTTATTTGTGTGTTGAGAGACAGGTTGCTAGGGATGGAGATTAAAAAAATCAGGAAAAAAAAAGATTATTTAAGGCTAAAAAAACACTTTATATTCAAAGGCAAGAAGGTGCTTTGGAGCAGAAGACTGGAGAACTACAACTCACAGCAGAAATATGATATGTTCCAAAGTACTGTTTTGTCTTCTAATCCGAAGCAGTCTATATAAGTACTGATTACTCCTACACCTGTTGCTAGCAACAAGATCTGTATGTAGATCTGGAGAATGAAACATTAGAAGTACCTTGTAGTCTCTGTGTCCTGCCATTTAGAAATGAAAATGGTAATGGAGGAGCCACGAATTTAATGCTTTCAATTAGTAATAAAAATACGAATTGGCAAAATTTTGATGACATTTCCCAGAAGGTACAGTGATGTAGATGATCAGATGAAATTACCTGTGATTATAGTTGTTGTTAAAACTATTAGGCATATAATATCATAGTTAATAGCTAGGAGTATGGAAGAAGTACATTCTTAATCAATATGCCTTAGAATATAAGGTACTCAGTGTCTTATATCTCCTAAATAAGAATATGTAGTACTTCAGAATTAAAATCTAAAAGCTGCTTCAGAGTGCACATAAGTGCATATTTAGCATCTATCTGTAACTCTTTAAAGAAGCTGTAGTTTTTCCCAAGAATTCTTCAGAGGTAATCTGAATCCTGGAAAACTCATATTTAAATCAAAGACTTACAAATGGATGCCATGTTCATACATGCACATACTCTAAAACAACTTTCTCCTTAGAAATCCAAATCATCTTTGGATTTGCAGCTCTGCACCCTAGCATCTTTTTTGTCACTTCATCATTAAGTCATTCTTTATTGCTATAATCTTATTGTAATATTGAATTGAATTGAATGGTTTATTTGACCAAGTGTGATTAGACACACCAGGAATGTGTCTCAGGTACAGAAGTACCCAGTGTACATGCAAAGCACTATCTATTATTATTATTATTATCATCATCATCATCATCAAAGTAAAGAAGATATTAAGGAAAAATAATAATGCTACAGTCACACTACATAGGTTAATGTTATCTATCCAATATCTATTCTAAATTTACTGCACTACCTTTAGTTTCGAATGCATATTATATACAAATTCATGTATATACAATACATATTATATACAAATGCATGTATATGTATCCTTTAGCTACAACTGTTATAATTCTTGTCTCCTGTAGTCAAGTATACAAATTAAAGGAGAACTGCTTATAAATATTATTATGTAATGACTTGTTGGATGAGGGAACAGTTCCCTGAGTCAGCCAGGGTTTGATTTAGCATGTTAATCAGTCAACGTTGTATGCTGTATTCGAGTTTTTCCAAAAGGTAGGGGTGTGTGTGTGTGTGGCACTAATTAAAACGCTGTTTGACAGAAATTTATAACTATTTGTAATTATATTTATGGACATGTTTGTGATTTTTTGAAGATGTAACAACTAAGATACGCTAGTATACTACTTTTAAAAATTGAAGTGCAGTACTTTATTGATAACAGCTCACAGGGAACAGAGATCCCCAGCCTATTTGGTATGGTATGCATAATGGAATTTTTAGAATAAGTTGCATAAATGTTCAACAAGGTACTTCAGTCAGTTAGAAAACACCCCCTTGGACTTGGTACTCATTTGCAGCCTTGTTAAGGATACACTGAGAACTGCGCTATCAATATCGAATAACCCCTTCATCCCTCCAGGCCATTTGATCCAACAGAAAAGAACATCATACACAATCTCAAAGTCTTCAGAGCCAACATCTGGGGCAGCTTCCCATTGCCAAGGCATGGTCTTCACCCTACCAAGCAAGAGAACAGATCTGAAAGAGAATGAAACCATAATTGCACAAGACTTCTGAGTGTTAATGTAGTGACTTCTGATGACTTGCCATTTGATCAAGAGATTTACGCTTTTGATTTGGAGGAATCACAAAGATACACCCTCTTGTCTGGGTCCCATGGTTGGATACCAGTCAGTGGGATCTCTGAAGAAAGCCCAACACATCCTGAACAGCTGATCAGATTGCATGAGGCTCTTGATCTTTAGTTACAGTAGATCCCATCTGAATATTCTATTGTCTTCAGATGCTTATAGTATACGCCAGAAATATTGCTAATATTCTGGCTTTGTTGAAATCAATAAAAAAAAGTATGGCAAATGTCAGTCTCTATTCCTCTGATCAAAAATCTGTTGCATTAGAAGATGTAGCAGTTTTTTTCTGGCATTTGGCCTTTAAATCACTGGTAGTTAAAAAATCTAAAATCTAAAAATCTAGTGCAAAGTGTCTTATGGCCCTTATTAATAAAGGAGAACACAAATTGAATACTTTTCATATTTTCTTAATTCACAACAAAGTATTGTATAGAGTGGTAATTTCCAAGCCTATAACGGCTAATATCAGATTTTTCTTTGTGAAAATATGACCTATCATCTTTTCATCTATGCTAGATGATAAATTAGACCTTGCTTTCATTTTCTTAGCAGAGGCCTCCCTAATCTCCAAGCAGCAGATGAACATCACTGAATATAATACAGCTGCCTATGTGGCTGACCACATTAAAAAGAGTTATTGCTCTCCGCTGCTACATCTGATCAGAACCATTGGTGTTTCTTGAAGTTCAGAACATGATGGAAAATCTCCTGCTCATCACAGAAGAATTTTACTTCTAGAGTTCAGCTAATGCTATGGAGAAACTCAAAATCCTAAACACTGCATAGAAATGGCAATCATTCTAGTCCAGTGGTTCTCAACATTTTTAATGCCGCGACCCCCAACCGGTCATAAGTCGAGGACTACTCAACTGGTGCAGCACCGTTTGCAGAATGGGACTTTTGGCAGGCTCAGCAGGGCAGAGACAGCCTGGACAATTCCTATTGGCTTTTGAAAGCCAATAGAATTAGACTCTATTCAAGAGAGTCTATTCTATTGGCTTTCAAAAGCCAATAGAATAAAAGGGAGTAGCACAGCTAAGGAAAAGGGGAAAAAAATGGCGGACTGCGTTGTTTGGCGACCCCCGTGAAATGGTCGTTCGACCCCAAATAGGGTCCCGACCCACAGGTTGAGAACCACTGTGCTAGTCAGTAGCAATGTCTTTGCTGCAAATAAGATCCACGGTTGGAAATAAATTGCCCTTCTCTAGCATGGCAGTTGTCATAAGCTAATGTGCAACTTGAGGAAACAAGTTTTCTCAAAATGGCTGCCTCCCCTTTTATTTTTACAAAAGACTTCAAAGATATTCCTAAGTGTCATCTTTGATTTAGAATATAATCTCCAGGATCACTACTCCAGTTCCCACTGGCATTTGCTCTCCAAGGATGGAAATCCAACACTACAGTGTCTTAGTCTCAACTTCAATAGCTATGAATTCAAGCCTTGCAGTATTTCTTGTTTATCCTTTCCAGTTCTGCTGTTGGTATATGAAGTTTTGTTCATAAAGGAAGTATAATCAAGTACCAAACTCTCAGATGTGAATTGGATTTGATTATTTTGTCATCCTCAAAATTGAAAAGTGAAACTAATAGATCTTTGCAACTCATCAAATAATATCTAGCTCAATAAATTCATGATAGTCACCTTTCAGATTAGCTTATTTTGTTGTGTTGGGGGAAATGGTTTTCCTAAATGGATCCTGGAGCTACATGTTTCCATATAATGTTACAATATATGATTATCGTTGTATGTCTACATCTGTTTGGCATACACATATTCACCCCGTGATGACTATTGGCTACATTGTGCAACATAACATTTTGTTCAGCTCATTCAGTGCATCAACAAACAAAAGGTTGTCCTATTCATGCACCTTTGGATATATGTATTTCTCATGGAAGTTAATGTATTATATATTTAATGGAGTTACTCAGAGCACAGATGGATGCCCTAATTTTCCAACATTATGCCTGTGAAAGGGTCCTTCAATGGGAAGCACCCTCAGTGGACTTGTTTGTTGCTGTAAAAAACACACAATATAGTGTTTTCTGCAAGAAAATGAACACAACCCGGTATTGTTAGAGGATATATTATCAGTTGGAATCAACTAATTTTGTATATGTTTTCTTCACCCCTATGGTAATTAGATCAGTGCATGAGTCCTTTGATTACATCTTGATAGCTGGCAACTCTGATTGCTAGTGCTTTTGTCTCTTCTCAGATACTGTACTTTTCATTGCCAGGCAGGAGGGACTTTTTTGACTGAAAGATGCTCAAATATATCACTCAGATATTTCCCTGAGTTTTATAATGTAACTCCTTGCCTGGCAATTTGGATAAAAATTAAAGCTATCAACAGTGTTTTGTACAATAGGAATTGGGGCATGTTCTGTCCATGTTCCTTCTTTTATTTGGTCATTTCAGGGGTTTTTCCCCAGTACTTATTACATCTTAAGATGTACTATAAAGTCTTTGGTTGTTATTGTTGAAAGTCTGTTCCCCAGTAAATTCTGCAGTGTATGTTTCTGCATCCATTAATGCAGAATTTGTGAAATATTTCAAACAACTACCCACCTCTGAAATATTCCATGTGAGAGGGGAATATTATTAAATGGATTTCTCCATTCTATGCTCCTTAAGGGATCTTCCATCTTCCTTGGGGAAATTTCCTTCAAAAAAAGAGGCTAAATGCAATTCTAGGAACCACTAAGCTTTTCTATATTCTAAACTTTGCTCACCTTAGATTTGGAGTGGAAAGGTTGGTTCACAGTGCGTTGTACATTAACTTTTTACACTGATTGCACTAAGGCTTTGCATGCTTCCATTTGTTTGTTTGAACTATGATAGTCTGAGGAATGCTAGTCTTTCCTCAAACTATGTGGACAAACTAAAGTTACTGCAGTCTTCTGTTTTTAGTTGGCAGACCCCCAACTTTGCAACCTGTTGTAAATACATGCTAATTGCCAAGCACCAAAATTGCAATTACATGACCACAGAAGTATTGCAATGGTCAAAAGTTGAAGGATTGGTCTCAACCACTTTTTTTTTCAGTACCATAACTTTGAACGATTGCAAAATGAATGGTTGTAAGTCAAGGACTACCTGTATTGTAGGAATAAATTAACAGACATGGATTGAACTGTGTTGCTTTAAATGGTATTATTACATGATACATTATTTAGGTCAGAGGCCCCCAATCTTTTGGGCACCAGGAACCGGTTCCATGGAGAGAGGTTTTTCTGTGGATCAGAGAGAGTGTGGATTTTGCATGCTGCCTGCATTCCACAGATGGAGCTTCACTTGCTTGCGTGGCCTGGTTTCTGGCATGCTGCAGACTGGTGCCGATCCACGGACCGGGGTTTGGGGACCCCTGATTTAGGTCCATTGGAAGAAATAGAGTGACATTAATTGCTTCATTCCATCTGCTGTGTCCTTTTTGCCATCTTTTATCAGTTTTATTGTAATTTATTTGTTTAGTTGTGAGCCACCCAGAGTTGTTGGGTCGCTTAGCATACAAGATTTAAATCATCACCATCACAATTGGTCAATTGCAAAAAATAGCTTTATTTGGAACAACTTACAATTTGTAACAATACTTTTAATATTATTAAACAGTAACATCTGCATATCCAATGTCCTTGGGAAGAACTCAATAGCAGACAAAAATGCCAAATCCAGTCTAAACATCTGGCTGACTGCAATCAATAATATCCTCTAACTGTATTCTAATCTAACAAATGACAATTTCATAGAATTACTGAAAACTGCTATGCAAATGTATGCATATTAAATAGAATGATGGAAGATATTAAGGGATTTCGTGGTAGTTTCAGGAAGGGCTAAATGCAACGCTAGGGAACTTCTTGACTTAGTGGACCTCCATTTATCAGCTTTTGAATGCAGTACAGGTAGCTCTTGCTTACTGAGTACTCGTTCAGTAATCATTCAAAGTTACAACATTGTTGAAAAAAATAATTTTATCACCAGTTTTCAACCATTTACAATATTGGTAGTATCCTTCAATCGTGATCATCATTATAGTCAGTATACATTGTTCTGTGTCTGATCTATTGTTCCCCTCCCCCTTGCAAAATTGAGAGGTTAGAGAAGAGATCAGAAGAGAGTAAGCAAGCACACAAAGAGGAATACACTGGCTGTTTGTCAAAGATAGTTGCTGCTGCTGGCACCAGCACATTTCCCCATTGTGTAGCTGCTTACTCTCTTCTAATTATTTCCTCTCCAATAAATATAAATTCAAACAGTAATTCCCTTCTTGTGAATTGTCTAATGCCGAGTGAGATTCCAAAGACCCAGTGGTTAGGAAATAAACAAAAATTGAAGGTGTGAAACTGATTGCTTTTTACTTATTTGTTTTTTTTCTGCCTTTATTATTTTATTAATAAATATTTCAAGGCAGAAAACATACATAATACTTCTTCCTCTTCCTAATCTTCCTACAGCAATAGCCCTGAGAGGTAGGTTAGGCTAAGAGTGTGACTGGCCCAAGGTCCTCCAACCAGCTTTCATCAATTTCAAGCTGGAAAACATAGTCTCACATAATTTCCCACTTAGCAACCACTTTGCTTAGTGACCAAGTTGCTGGTCCCAAGGGTGGTTGCTAAATGGAGACTACCCGTGATCCTAATTTAGTAACCACAGTAGGATCCAACATTTAGTAATATCTAAAGCATTGGTGTCAAACTCGCCGCATCAGTGAGGTGTCGCGACATATTGCGACTTTTTTTTTGTATTGCCGGAGCTGGGGTGTGCACGGCCTCTATATGATGCAACTGGCCCATGGGCTGTAGTTTGACCCCCCTGGTCTAAAGGAATCCTTAGCCTCAGCTTTGGTTGTAAATGTGGGGATTGGTCACAAAGTTACTTTTTCAGTTTACACTATTGTAATTGCAAACAATCACTAAATAAAGTATTCACTAAATGAGGACTACCTGTAAATGAAAGTTTTGTTACACTATAAATGGATGTTTGGAATATAAAAGTTGAATAAGGAGGTTAATAGAATCCTGTGGAAAAAAATTGTTTATTGGCAACACCAATATCAAATAATAAAACTACGCTCTAACTCTTGGATGGGTAACTGGAGTCAACTTGCCTATATAGCGGTAATAGAAACCAGAAGATGGAAAAATGCACTCCAGACAGCCAGATCAGCCAAGTTAGGCTTTCAACGTTCTGCCCATGTCCCTGGAGGCCGTGTGATTCAAACTATAAATTATAGAGGTTAACATTAAAATGGAGGACACGCAGTATATAAAGAACTGACTTAGTACACTCAAGCAAAAAAGAGCCTGAGCAGAGCAGTAAGATGTACAAAACTCATAATATCTGGGAACATAAAATTCTAGTGAAAATTGTATCAACAAATTTTGCACATCTCTACTTGGAAATTCTAGAAAGAGATAAAAGAATGAGAAGCAAAAATGTTATGAAAATGTAAAAGGAAAAAGATTAAAATGACTTTCAGAATAAAAGAAACATGGATTAAAGCCACGGACAACAAGAAGGACATATTGTAACTAAACATCAACTTCAAGAAAAGGTAAAGAAATATCTCTCAAGAATACCAAGACTGGATCTTGTTTGACAACACTGTATGGTTGTATTTCTTATAATGTAAATTAACAAGATATAATTCCTGTCAGCACTGCATTCTAGCTAAGTAGCCAAATTATTTAAGCATCTCTTTGTTAGTCTGTTTTTTGTTAGTACTTGATAATGAAGACTGCTTGGGCTACCAATGTTATTTATACTGCATCTTTAGACTTAAATTCTAATTGCATTATTGCTAATGTGTCATTTCCCCTTTGTATCTCTTTTCTCATTGCAGCTTGAACTCAGTGACAACAGAATTTCTGGAGGCCTTGATGTATTAGCCGAAAAACTTCCTAATCTCACACATTTAAATCTCAGTGGAAATAAACTGAATGATATTGATATTTTGGAACCACTGGTATGTCATTAAAAGGTTACCGTAGGTCTCAGTGGGGTTAACAATACTAGCACCAGTAGTAGATGTTGAATTCACACTAAATGTGTCCAAATCATATATGTTACATTTTGTACATAACTGTAAGCATTTTGAGCCTAACCCCATTTCAGTAGCTAATATCTTGGAAAGGTATATGCTTTCCTGTGTACATAAAAATCATCTTAAATCATCTTAAATCCAAGAGAGCATTGAAATGTTTGTGCATGACAGTTTAATTTTTTTTTGTCAACTGTTGGCATAATCTAAATTAGCATTGACACTATTTTTATTCAAGATTATTATGTTTTCATGTTAAAGTAGTTCTTTCTGATTAGATGACACTTTTTGTCTGGTAGATTATAATTCTTAAATTGTTTTTCTACCTCATCAGAAATCAGAATGTTAAAACTGCTTAGGTCAGTTGTGATGCCAGACAACAATAACTTACTGTTACAAATCATCCTAAAATATTAATTAATATGGAATAATGTATTAAAATAAGAGGAAGTTATATTTATACACAATCTGCTTTTACTATTATCCAATCTAGAATATAAGAGGTCAGTATGAGATAGAAAGAAGTTCCCTCATGGATAGGGAAGAAGGGACTCTTCATTTTTTTTTTTTTAAAGTAACATGTCAAGGAGATGGCATCAGGCAGCGTAGTCTTCTTGATCTTGTTTTTCTTTTCACACAAAGATCAGAAAGGGATCTTTAAATGAACTGAAATAGCTTTAGATTAATTCACATTGAAGAGGGATTTCTTTAAAAATGATTTGTTAGTAAATAATAACCTTCCTTTATGATTTTGACTAAATGAGAAATGTATATGATAATTTCAAAATTCAAGTCTTGTTCTTTTTCAGAGAAGTTAGGTTAATTACATTGTGAACTCATATTTAATTTGGGAATGTCATGAAATAATATACTGTATCAGCTCAGTACATGGCTTTGTTTATCTCTCTCCCCCTCTCAATCCAAACTGAAATTATGAGCATATCTTGCTAGATTTGTGTATGATCTCAATATACTAATGATGCTTAAAACTAACAAAAGCATATTTTTAATTCAGAAAAAGTTGGACTCTCTGAAGAGCCTTGACCTGTTCAACTGTGAAGTAACAAATCTAAATGACTACCGAGAGTGTGTCTTCACACTTCTTCCACAGCTCACATATCTGGATGGATATGATCAGGAAGATAAAGAGGCTTCTGATTCAGATGCTGAAGTAGATGGTTTTGATGAGGAAGATGAGGAAGGTGAAGAAGGTGAGGTCAATCATATTAATTGTGAATTGGAAAGGGTTAATTCTTGGCTATGACCAAGGTCTGCGTAATGTAAATATGGCATTTGAGTCATTTGGAGCACCACATTAAATTATCAAATGTGAAATGTTCTCTGCACTATACAGTGGATATAAAAAGTCTATAAAACCCTGTTAAAATGCCATATTTTTGAAATGTAAAAATATCAGACCAAGATAAATCACTGCAGAATTTTTCCATTGTGTGTGTGTGTGTGTGTGTGTGTGTGTGTGTGTGTAGTTGGGTTTGGGGTTTTTACAAATAACACTTTCAATATTCAGCAAACAGCATGTCTGGGTTCATGTATTTAAAGAAAAAAACATAATTATCATAAACAATATGTTAATTCATTGCTCAATGGTCTTCTTACTAATCTATATTCAAAGTTACATATCACATTCCTTTCTCTCTAACTTGTTTTTCTAACCATTGATAAAAGTTATCCCATGTTCTAAAATACACTGAGTCTTCTTTCTCTTTTGTCTTTAAAGTCAATCTATCCATTTCTGCACACTCTAAAATTTTCTTAATTAATTCTTCTTCAGTTGGCAAATTTTCATTTTTCCAATATTGGGCAAATACAATTCTTGCTGCAGTTAGTATGTGTAGAATTAAATATATACAGTCTTTCTCATAATTTGCTCCTATTATTCCTAACAAGAATAATTCTGGCTTAAAGTCTACTTGTTTTTCAATCATTTTCTCCAACCATAAATGTATTTTGAGCCAAAATCTTTTTGCTTTAGGGCAGTGGTCGGCAGCCTTAAACACTCAATCAGCCAGTTGGACCAGTTTCCCACATTAAAGAAAACAATGGGAACCACAAAACCCTTTTGACATCTAAAATGAAGATAACACTGCAGATATCGTTTTTTACCTTTATGCTATGTATAAAACTATAAAAACTACAAATAGAAAAATAGAAAAGAAAAAAAATTGCGAGGGGAAAAAAGAAAAGGCCAGGAGAAAGAGGAAAAAGAAACCTTTCTCCTTCATCCCAACAGGTAAAAATATTTTAGTAGCTTATCTACCATCTTTAAATACAGCATAATTATCCCCATACCTCATCTCTTAATTAAAAAAATATCAAAATATTTCATTAAATGTTCTTTACTAAAAGTCCAGTAAGGACAACCAAATATATTCGTATTCTCTCTCTCTCTCTCTCTCTCTCTCTCTCTCTCTCTCTCTCTCTCTCTCTCTCTCTCTCTCTCTCTCTCTCTCTCTCTCCCTCTCTCTCTCTCTCTCTCCCTCTTCCTCTCTCTTCAATCATAATCCCCCCTGCCAGCCACCATCGCCGATCTTCTCCTTACCTGACCAGCTAGCCTCACACTCTTCTCCAGCATGACTAATGGAGAATCCACAGATGGTTTGATCTTGCCTTTCTGCCCTAGAGACTAAGTCAATCAACCTTTGCCACGCCTCTCTTCCTCCGGCTAGGAATCCCCAGTCACAACTTAGTCTTAGCCCAAGAGAGAAGTGGTGAAGATTGAATCTTCTTTCTACCAGAAAGACAAAACTGGATTTTCCCAGGTTGTACCTTTCCCTTCCCTTCTCTGCGCTGATATCAGCGCTGCTTTTCAAACCGCTGAGTGTCAAAGTGGTTTTGTAGGCTTCGGCTGAAGCCTCAAGCTATTTATAGCTTCCAGGCAGGGCAGAAGTGTAGTAGTCGCCATTTTGAGCGCCACTTTTATTGTTCCTGAGTGGGAGGGGACCTTCCCTTCCAGTGAGCGCCATTTAGACTCAAATAGAATCAATTTTGACCAGAATTCAGCCAGCAATTTTATTAGTCAGCCATAGAAGCAGCTCCCACATTTATTAATTCGGACATAACGACGGAGTAGGAGGTCACTTACTAGCGGCCGCCATCTTGAAAGCCTTACAAACACTCTCAGGCCATTCAGAAGCCAGAATTAAGGAGCGGCATTTTGAAGGTGCTGCTTCTCCAATTCCAGGCTCCTTGGTAGCTCGCCGCATACAAAGCTATTACAATTAGAGGTAGCAACAGCCTCCTTCACTGTGTCTGGACGCAATTTCCAAAGATTTCAGGGCGTGGCTGAGTGCCTGCTTTAACTGCCGCCATTTTCAGCGCCTCTTCCCACCACCGATTTTGCTGCTTATAAGTGTGCTGGCTACCCCATTAAGTTGGTCTTGCCACAACTAACAGGATTATCAGTGTGCTGGCTACCACATTAAATTGGTCTTGCTGCCACTAACAGGACTGTGAGTGCTGGCTATCCCATTAGGTTGGTTGTGCCGCCACCACTTCTAGCCACAACTTGGCTCCTTTCTATTGGGATCACTGTTGCAAACACATTGAGATTGCCATTTCTGTGATATCTCTGATTTTGCAATGGCAGATAAAACCACAGAAGTTCAGATATCTCAAGGTGCCTCCAGCACTTCCTCCAGGCACAAGAAATCGAGATCTGCCAAGCAGGAGGGTGCTGGGAAATTCAGATCCAAAGCTATCTCTGGCAAAAGGTCTCCCAAAGCTGCTGAGAAAGAAGGCAGCAGGCATTGGAAAAACAATTATCCAAAGCTGCAAGGCAAAAGAATGATGCAAAGGTTGGTCAGATTACTTCTGTTCCCATGGAAGCATCGGTTTTTGGCCCTCAACAAGCTCCTTCAACCTCTGCTACTCCAAGTGCATGGTCTCCAGAAGGGGAAACAGGTCAGTTCATTTTTCCCATGGCAAAACAGGTGGAAATGTTTCCCCATTCCAGTGAGGGGTTTGGCTTTCATATCCCTGCTCCGGGTACAGCTAGACCTCTGGGGCCAGAGACCACATTCACTCCTACAGCGGCAGGGCTTCGCCCTCCAGAGGCTCAGGAGACAGAACTATCAGAATGAATACACCTTCTGATTTCTCAGGCTATTGCCCAAGGTGTAGCTTAGACCCTAAACCAGAGAGCTCGACCCGAGTCGATAGCATCAGGGATCCCATCTTACAACAATATCGTATCTCTCCCAGGTGGAAGCAGCCGCATACCAAGGGCCAGTTTCCCCCTCCAATTCCTCCAGGAGTAGAAGGTTGTTCATATGGGACGATGAACAGAGAGAGCAGGGGATGTCAGAAGATGAAGACTTACCTCCTGATCCCCCTCCTTTCATAGGCCTGTTTAATCCGGCCCTCTTTAAATCCTTACTTCATAAGGCCAGGAGCACTGCTCAACTTGGTCCTGAAAGTGTTCCTCAGGCTGAACCTTCCACCACCCAGGGACCTACCAGTAAGGTCTTTTCAGAACCAACGTTTACCCAACAGGACATTCCCTGTCCTCCCATTTTCCCCAATGTAGTCCAAAGACAATGGGGAATGCCAGGTACTTTTCTATCCCCAGGTGGGACTGATAGAAAGTTATTTAATATGGCCCCAGCACTGTCGGAGGTGCTAGCAGTCCCCACTGTAGATGAGCCCTTAGCACCATTGGTTCTCTCCTTCGCTGTGTCTGGAGATATAACAGAGGTTCTGAAGTCAGAGGATAAGAAAGCAGAGCTTAATTTCTGCAGGACCCACCAAGCCTCAGCATGGGCGGTAAAGGCAGCTACATCAACTTCCTTTTTCGCCAGATAAAAAAAAAAGAAGAGGTATGGATGCACCAAGATTTAAACAAATTGGTGGCTGCATCAGAATACATGGCTGACTCATCATTGCACGTGGCCAGATTTTCCTCCCGGGCATTAGCATCTAATGTTATCTCTCGCAGGCTTTTGTGGCTCAGACAGTGGTGAGCGGATGCTAGGTCCAAGTGGCGGTTGGCCTCAGCCCGTTACATGGGAGGCCAGTTATTTGGAGAGGCACTAAACCCTTATCTGATTGAGAACAAGGATAAGCATAAGGTCATGTCCCATTTTATTAGGAGAGCAGACAGGAGAGCTACCCCTTACACCCATAAGCAGTCCTTTCGCTCAACCGACACAGGGTCAGAATTCATCCTTTACTCCCGTCCTTATCCTCCCAGACCAGAACGTCAATTCGACAAATCTGGTAACGGACAGACCCAGGCAGCAATTACAGGCCAAACGGCCCTTTCGAGGCGCGGGAAGCTGTCCTTTCAGAAAGTCCAAGTGACACCAAAGGTGCCTCTCCCATAAGGGGCAGGTTGGCTTTCCTTGAACACAAATAGGAGAACACCACTACAGATCTCTGGGTCCTCAACATCATCAGATTTGGCCTAACTTTAGAGTTCAATTCCACCACACACACACCCTGAGGCATTTCGTCTCTTGCCCATCATCCAAAAATCTGGTCAAAAGAAGCCTCATGAAAGAGGCCATTCGACATCTCCTGGAGATCCAGGCCATAGAACTGGTACCGGCAGGGCAGAAGGGATGGGGGTTTTATTATATTCTGTTCATCGTTCTGGAGGCCTCGGGAGAGTGGAGGGCAGTCCTAGATTTAAAGAAATTAAATATCGATTTGGCAGACAAGAAGTTCAAGATGCAAACGTTCCAATCCATATTAGCAGGCATCAGAAGGGGGAACCTCCTGACATCCATCGACCTGACAGAGGCCTACTTACACATTCCCATCCTTCTCGGACACCGGAAATTCTTCAGGTTCTGCTGCGCAGGCCACCATTTTCAATACAGAGCTCTACCATTCGGCCTGTCATTGGCCCCCAGAGCATTCATAAAGGTCCTGGTGGCGCTAGCCGCGCATCTCAGGACCATTCCAGTGTGTGTCCAGTGTTATCTGAACATTCTCATTCAATCCTCCTCAGTCCAATTGGCTCAGTCAGAACTGGCATTGTTCATCAAGACCCTCGACCACGGGTTTTCAATAAATTTTCAGAAAAACCAGATAGTTCCCTCCACCTGCCTCCTTCACCTGGGCACGGTGATAGATACAAGGAAGTACGAGGTTTACCCGTCTCAGGAACGTCGGGACAGTATCCGATCCCTAGTCACCCAGATTCAAAGGGAGCAAGTAGTCGCCCTAGCAATCCTTTCTCAACTGCTAGGAAAGATTGTTTCCTGCATAGCAGTAGTTCCTTGGGTTCAGCTCCACTGAACCCTCCAATGGTTCTTGCTCCCGTTCCAGAGACTAGGCACCAATTTCTCCAACCACAAGGTATGGGTCCCGTCACAGACCCTGAAATCCTTCCAGTGGTGGGTCTCCCCAGCGATGGCCAGGGGAACCTTATTCAAGGAGCCCAACCGACTCATCCTAACATCGGATGCCAGCTTGTTCGGCCGGGGAGCGCACCTGCAATTCCAGTTGGCTCAGGGTCGGAAGCACAACATAAACTGGTTAGAGCTCAGAGCTATATATCTGGCTCTACGACACTTCCGCAACACAGTGGCAAAGCAACACGTTCTAGTCCTCACGGACAACGTGGTGGCGAAAGCCCTTATCAACAGGCAAGGGGGTACCCACTCCAGGTCCCTCATGGCCGAGGCTCAATTATTAGGAACCTGGGCAGAGACCAACCTCTCATCCCTCAAGGCAGAGCACATCTCGAGAAAGACAAACTGGCAAGCGGATTTCTTGAGCAGGGCCACAGTGGGCCACTCCGAATGGCGCCTGCACCCGGATCTTTTCAGGGAGATATCAGAGAAGTTCGGTCATCCAGTGCTGGACCTGTTCGCTACCCCAGCAAATTCCCAGCTCCCGAGATTCTTCTCCCGGTTCCCGTCTCCAGGGGTGGAAGGGGTAGGTGCCCTATCTAGCCCGTGCCCCAGAGAGCTCCTGTATGGGTTCCCTCCTCTCCTTCTGATCCAGGCAGTTATCCAGAAGATACTGCAGGAATGGGCAAAGGTGATACTTGTTGCTACCCACTAGCCAAGACGGCTGTGGTATGCCGACCTCGTAGGTCCCTCAACCTCTCCTCCATGGAGGATACCCCAAGATCAAATTTCCCTCAGCCAGGGGGTTCTACCTCAGTAGCTCCAGCTAACCACCTGGCGTTTGAAAGGAGACTCCTAACAAAAGAGATCTACTTATCAGATGTGATTACCATGATTCAGGCTTCAAGAAGGCCTGCAACTAATAGAATCTATGATTCCACATGGAAGAATTTCTGTAACTGGTGTGTGGGAGACAACAATTAGATCCAGCTACAATTCCTATTCCAAGAATTTTGGATTATTTACTGGAAGGACTTAAGAAGGGTTTAATACTCAACACAATCCACAGACAAGTTGCTGCCCTGTCCACGGTGCTCACGTATGGGAAGTCAGAGCCCTTGGCTTAACACCCCATGGTACGTTCCTTTGTCAGGGGACCAATCAACAGCAAACCGCCTGTGGTTCACAGATATCCCTCTTGGGACCTGTCCAAGGTCTTACAGGCTCTCACTTTACCTCCATTTGAGCCCGTCAGAACCTCCACTCTATGGTTCTTGACACTCAAGGTTTCCTTCCTAGTAGCCGTCACATCGGCTAGGCGCATCTCGGAATTGGCAGCACTCTCAATTAGAGATGACTTATGTATTTTTCATAATGATAGGGTGGTCCTACACTTAGACCCCTCTTTCGTCCCCAAAATCAACTCATTGTTTCACAGGCCACAGGAGCTTGTGCTGCCAGATTTTTGTCCTGAGCCGTCCCATGATTTGGAATGTAAATGGCACACCTTGAATGTTCATAGAGCCTTGCATTGCCATATTAAGCGAACTGCCTCTTTTCGCAAATCTGAAGCCCTTTTCGTTTCATTCCATCCCTCTTCACTGGGTCAAAAGATGACTGCCTCTACTATCGGCAGATGGATTAGAGCTTGTATAGCAGGGGCATACCAGATGCACTGCTTCCTAGTTCCAAGACGAATCACCGCACACTCGCAGTGCAGCAACTTCAGCAGCGTGGGTGACACAGGCATCAATCGAAGAGATATGCAAAACAGCAATTTGGTTGTCTCTTTCCCCATTTGTGAGGCATTATAAGTTAGATAAGTTCGCCTCAGCAGATGCTTCATTTGGTAGGAGAGTTCTCCAAAGGGTAATAACAGGTAATGGGACACAGGCCCGGACTTCTTCCCACCCATAGGGACAGTGAGGCTTTGGTATGTCCCATCTATGCATTCTCCATTCGTCATGCTGGAGAAGGGGCATTGTTTTACATGAATGCCTTTTCTTAGCATGACGATGGAGAATCTACTCCCCCCCCCAGGGACCATCCGGTCCTGTGTCAGGGGAATTTGAGCCACCACCACCTTGAAATACCATCAACTGCTGCGCCTTCATCGTGACTGGGGATTCCTAGCCAGAGGAAGAGAGGCGTGGCAAAGGTTGATTGACTTAGTCTCTAGGGCAGAAAGGCAAGATCAACCCATCTGTGGATTCTCCATCATCATGCTGAGAAAAGGCGTTCGGGTAAGACAATGCCCCTTCTCCTCCTCCTCGTCCTCTGCACTCAATCAGCTGCTAGCGGCTTGGGTGGCTGTGCTCCGTCCAGGTTGAAGAAAGCGGAGGCATAGCGGAAAACAGCTTTCTTCAACTTGGACGGAGCAGAGCCACCCAAGCTGCTAGCAGCCGATTGAGTGCGGAGGAGGAGGAGGAGAAGAGCATGAGGCCGACTGGCCAGGTGAGGAGAAGATCGGCGATGCTGGTTGTCTAGGGAGGGGGGATCATGGCCGCTCGGGGGGCTCTGCAAAGCCTCATGGCAGTGGCATTGGCAGCTCCCCCAACCAGTCCGTTTCCCCAGCTCTATATAAGCTTGGCAGAACCCCACATCCCCGATCGGACCCATGCGGCACCTTTCTAGGTCTACCACCGCAGTCCTCTGTCTCTTCCTCCACCGCCATGTGCAGTCCCAAAAAGAAAGGTTTGTGGGCAGTCCCACAAAAAAAGTGGGACTAAAAAAGTTCAATCAATTCTAACTTCTCGCGGAACAAGAAGATCTCGCGAAGTTGGAATTGAGTGATTGAACTTTTTTAGTCCCACTTCTTTTTTTTTGTGGGACTGCAAATGGTGGAGGAGGACTGGGAGCTGCAGTAGAAGGATGAAAGAGCCGCATTGCCTACTTGTGCTTTAGAGCATGTCCACCAGATATGGTAGTAAGTACCTGGTCTTTGTTTGCATTTCTAACATTTGTTTGAAGTATTTTTAAACATTTTTGCTAATCTCACTGGTGTCATATGCCACCTGTAAAACATTTTATATAAGTTTTCTTTATATGCCACTGCTTTAGTTAATTTATCATTTCTTTCCCATAACTTTTGCCAGTTTTCTAATTATATATTATATCTAAAGTTCTTTGCCCATATTATCATTGTTTCTTTTACTTGTTCTTCCTCCATTTTTAAGCTTAACAGATATTTATAGAGTTTCTTAATCAATTTTTCATCTGTTTTTAACAGTATCTGGTCAAATTTTTTATAAAATCCCATTGTTTAAACATCTTTTTCATATCTCGTTTGGATTTACAAATATGACCACCATGATACATCAATACCTTGTTCTTGTAAATTTGTCTGTCTTTCAATTTTCCTTCATTATCCAAGATTTCTTTATAGGTCACAACTTTGTCGTAATTAATTAAATTTGGGTAAGCAAAAGCTTCCATTGTTGAAAGCCATACAGGTATTTTGCTTTTATTTTTTCGGAACGTTTCCATCTTTAATATAACATATAAGTTGTACAATTCAATTAAAAAAGAAACTGAAATCTTTTAGGGGGAAAAACAACATTTATTTATTTATTTATGAGACTTATATACCGCTTTAACTGCAAGCACTCTCTAAGCGGTGTACACCAGTAAGCAATGTATATATATATTTACATTGCCCCCAACAATCTGGGTTGTTGTATTGTATTAAAATATACAATAACATGGTTGCATAATTATGCACACCCTTAAAATGATACTTTGTTGAAGCACATTTTGATTTTATGACAGCATTCAGTCTTTTGTGGGTAAGAGCCAATCAGCACATCTTGCCTGGGGAATCTTTGCCCACTCTTCCTTGCAAAGTGCTCCAAATTTATCAGATTACGAGGGATTCTCTTATGTGCAGCTCTACTCAGGTCCCCCCTGAGGTGTGGGCTCTGGATGGGCCATTCCAAAACTTTGAACTTCTGGTGAAGCCATTCTTTTGTTGATTTGGATGTATGCTCTGAGTCATTGTGTTGAAAGGTGAAAATCCTCTTCAGCAGAGGCCAGAAGATTTTATGCCAAAATTGTCTGATATTTGGAAGTGTTCATAATTCCTTTTATCTTGACTAAAGCTCCAGTTCCAGCTGAAGAAAGCAGCCCAAAGGATAATGCTACCATCATTATGCTTCACCGCACCGTTGATATGGTGTATTTTTGGTGATGCACAGTATTGTCAGTATTGTTTTTGTGCCGAACATACTTTTGGGAATTATGGCCAAAATTCAACCTTGATCTCATCAGATCGTAACAAATTTTCCCATATGCTTTTGTCAGACTTGATGTAGGTTTTTGCAAAATGTAACTGGGATTGGATGTTTTCCTTTTTAAGAAAAGACTTCCGTCTTGCCACCCTACCCCACAGGCCAAACATATGAAAAATACATGAGACTGTTTTCACATGTAGTACATAACCAGTACTTGCCAAAAAAAATCCTGCAGCTCTTTTAATGTTGCTGTAGGCCTCTTGGCAGCCTCTAGGACAGTTTTCTTCTTGTTTTTTAATCATTTTGGAGGAATGTCCAGTTCTGGCTAATGTCACTGTTGTGCCATATTTTCTCCACTTGTTGATGATTGTCTTCATTGTGTTCCGTGGTTGGAAATTTTTTTGTACCTGACTGATACCTTCCAACAAAGAGATGCCTTTGATGTTTGGAAGCTCTTTGCAGACTATGGTTATTGCTGTCAGAGGCAACTGAGACAATGTCAGAAAAATTTTATTAGAACAGTTGAACTGTCATGGTTCCAACTAATGAAACACTTCAAAGAACTTCCAGGCATTATTTATCCTAAAAAGTCTTTATTCTTTGTGTAACAGAGTGTCTGCACGGCATGGATGGATGCCAAGATCTTAATTCTCCTCCTTTGTACATAACATTCCAGCCTATTCCCCTCCCCTATTTTGCAGTCATAAATCAAGTTTTCCAATCAGAGTGGAAGGGCAAAGGTTCACTTCCTTATCTTTCTCCTCCCCTCCCTGCATCATCTAAGTTAACTCTAAAAATACCAAACAGTTCTGTATATTTTGTCAAAGCAATAATATCCAATATTAGCAGCTTAATCAGAGTCACTTTAATTAATAGTAGGTGTGTACTGTGTATTTACCATAGTTTGAATGTGATTGGCTAATTGTAAATACAATCACATCCCTGCTTATAAGAGGGTATGCACATTTATGCAACCATCTTATTGTATGTTCGTTATAGTTACTTTCTTCCTAAAAGATTTCAGTTTGTTTTTTAATTGAATTATGTGTCATATATAATCTGTAGTATATTATGCTAAAGGTGGAAAACATTCTGAAGTGACTTATCTTGGTCTGATTTTTTTTTTGTTTCAAAAACCTGGCACTTTAACAGGGGTGTGTAGACTTTTTGTGTCCACTGTATTTGAATCAACAATACTTATGTCAGCTGAGAAAGATCAGTTTTAAAGCATAGAATAACTGTTATGGTTTGTATGATCTATAACAAAACACACCAATTTTCAAGAAGAAAAACTAGTGTGGATGTTGCCCTTTATTTCCTTTAGCTGGTTGTATGGTTGTAATCTCAATTTACTGTCTTCTGAGTAGGTAGGCTCATTTTCAAATAGAGCATTGATGGCAAACCTTTTAGAGACTGAGTGCCCAAAAACTGCCCCCACCCTCGCTCCACCCCCTGCTCCGCCTGCCCGCATGGCCACTCACCACCTCCAGGGCCCGCCACAGATTGCCCAGGCAACCCAGCAGCGCCGTGCAGGCCACGCCCTCTGCCCGCACCCCGCAGCATCAACTGTGCATGATGGGGCATGAGGGCAGAGTCTTTTCTACGCTGCCTGGCTGCCATGTCCTTGGCTGCGCTGCTCCGCGTGGGCCACTCTTGGGGGCGACTGTACTCCAGGGGGGCTGCTGGGGAGGAGAGGGCCGTGGGGAGAGGCGGGGCTGGGGCAACAGCACGTGTGCCCACAGAGAGGGCTCCGAGTGCCGCCTCTGGCATGCATGCCATAGGTTCGCCACCACTGAAATAGAGCATTGCATTCCAGCCTCCTACAAACACAATTACTACTAGGGACATGGAGCCTGGTGGATGCTTAGTGAGATTTCTAGGGACACATCGACACTCAAAGGGATAACATTAGGGATCCAGATTCTAATATATTAAGGAATCTGTAATAATATAGCAAACTGTTGTAATAGATTGCAAATTATTAGCACATCCTCTTTTAGACTGACAGTTTAAACTCATACTGCCTTTTAGATTGCTTAATTTATAAATTGCAAGTCTGAAGATAATTATGAAACATTGGTTGATATCAGTATGTGTTTTTTATCAGTTGTTCATAGGAAAATATTTAAAAGGAAACACCCTTTGAATTAATATTATTTTGATGTTATGGTAGCTTCCCTAATTGATATGTATAAAACTCTTTTATCTTTTTCAGAAGATGATGATGACGATGACGACGATGACATATATGAGGAGGAGGACGAAGACGAGGATTCACTTTATGCTTTGTTTGTAGGAGGGCAAGATGAAGAAGATGAAATTAGTGGAGAGGTTGGTTTAAAATATTGTTTTCTCTTTGCAGTAAAATGTTTATGTGCATTTATTAGACTGCAAGAAGAGTAGCTATTCTTATTACTACTAGTAGTACTGCTACAAGCATGCCATCACACCCCAAATGTCTTACAACAATCAGACAAAGAAATTACAATAAAATCAGTGAAACATAAATGTTGGATGGCAAGTGTGGTGAAGCGAAGGATTTCCCTCTCCCTTACCAAACGCCTGGGTGAAGAGCCACATCTTCACAGCTCTTCTAATACAACAGTAGAGTGGGGATCATCTGTATTGTGAGGGGAACCTTGTTACAGAGGACAAGCACTGCTATAGAAGGTGCACTTCTGAGATCCCAATAGGCCAGACATGTCAAACACAAGGCCCGGGGGCCGGATGCGGCCCTTGAAGTGGTTTCATGTAGCCCACGAAGCCATCCTGGAAACAGTGAGGGAACGGTCCCTGCTGTCTTGGCCCTGGCCCGGGCCACCCAGGAGCCAATGAACAATTTTGTGGTGGCCATCTTGGCACTTGCCCCAGTGGACCATGCCTTGGAACTTGCCTCGGTCTCACCCCCTCCTGCCAGAGACCCTCAGATCTGTCCCACTCCTGCCCAGGCCCCCCATAGGCACTCTTGATGTGAATGATGTAGAACTGGCCATGCCCACCCAGTAGGCCACACCCACTCCATCCATGCTCATCCATTAGGCTGCACCCACTCTGGCCACACCTACCTGCCCCCCCCCCCAGGGCAACCGCAATGCTGATGCAGCCGTCAGTGAAATTGAGTTTGACATCCCTGCAATAGGCGATATTGTTTAATCAGTGAAAGCTGGAGCATGCTTGACCCTGCAGGATCAAATCAGCTGGGCAGATGGCTATGAGAGATAGGTATTTCCTCAAGTAACCAGGCCTATGCCATGTAGGGCTTTATAGGGTTTTTTTTTATAGAGAGAGAGTGAGCCAACACCTTAAATCGTGACAAAAAGCAAACCGGTAACCTGTGCAGCTCACAAAGCAGAGGTATTAACATTGGCATCCCAGTGTTTGCCCTTTACTGCTCACACTGGGTTCTGGAGCAGTTCAAGCTTCTTAGTAGTCTACAAGGGCAGTCCCATATAATGTGTTACATTAGTAAAACATTAATTGCATGAGTCAAGCTCCAAGCTGACATGGGCCTAGATGACTTATCTGAAGGATTCCCTGATCTAGGAAACATAGCAGCTGGTGCCCCTGATGCATTTATGGAAAACCATCACGGTCACAGCTGCCCCTTGCTCTTCAGGCAGGAGCTGCAAGTACAAGAAGGCTCCTAGATCAGTGGTGGCGAACCTATGGCAGGGATGCCAGAGGCGGCACTCGGAGCCCTCTTCGTGGGCACGCGCGCCGTCGCCCCAGTCCTAGGCCTTCAGCTGGGTTTTATAAAACCTTTTCGGTTTAGGCCTCCGCTGCTGTGTTCAAAAAAAAAAAGGTTCAATCAATCAGTCAATTTCAACTTCTCGCGGGGAAAAAAAAGATCTTGCAAAGTTGGGATTGATTGATTGAACTTTTTAGTCCCACCCAGTCTGCTGTTACTACTGCAGCTACGCCCACCCAAATGGCCACGCCCACCTGGCACCCGACGATGCATAATTGGGTTTGGGTTGCAGTTTGGGCACTCGATCTCTAAAAGGTTCGCCATCACTGCCCTAGATTGTGCACCAACTTCAAGGGGAAGTACTACCCTATCCAAATATTTCCAGATCTGGTTGGCTCAAGGACCTACATCCACTCGATCTTGGTAAAACAGAGTCAGATATGATTCCTCTCCTTCCAAACAAAAACAGCTTCCAGGCACTTGGACAGAACATTGACATCCTTACTTGGCTGGTCTAGGATCGAAAGATATACAGGTAGTCCTCGACTTATGACCACAACTGAGCTCAAAATTTCTGTTGTTAAGCAAAACAGTTGTTCAGTTAATTTTGCCCCATTTTACAACCTTTCTTGCCACAGTTGTTAAGTGAATCCCTGCAGTTAAGTTAGTAGCACGGTTGTTAAGTGAATCTGCTTCCCCATTGACTTGGCTTATCAGGTTATAGAAGGTGATCACATGACCCCAAGATACTGCAGCCATCATAATTATGAGCCAGCATCCAAATTTGGATCATGTGATTTTGGGGATGCTGCAACGGTCATAAGTGTGAAAAAATGATAAGTCACTTTTTTCAGTACCATTGTCACTTTGAATGGCCACTAAATGACCTATTGTAAGTCAAGGACTACCTGTAATAGGGTATCATCAGTATAATGATGTTGAATGCAAACCCACCAGTTCATGTAGATAAGGAACAAATTGATACCGGAGCAGCTGAAATAATGAACCTTGGTTTGGTTCTGTTTTTATGTTCTCATTGGTTGCTACTAACATGGTAGCAAACAATTGAAGGCTGGATTACAACATATTAGTATCAGTGTTTTTCTAAAAGATTTTGCCCGCTGAGCAGAAAATGGGAAGCAGATGTGATAATAGGAAAGCCAAAGGTATTTAGTTTCAAAGGCAAACCTGTTGTTATTTTTAGGAGGAAAAGGCTGGGCATGACAGTGAAGAAGATGACGATGATGATGATGATGACGACGACGAAAAAGAAGAAGGTATGTGTTAATTTTTATGCCAGTCTTTTTATTTTAGAAAACCTTAGGAAGGTAAAAGTACTGATAAAAGTACCAGTGGAAAAAACCGTGCAAGTTTGGAAGATGATAATAACGACGATGTGTTGGCATTCAAGCCTGGAATGCAAGTAACCATCATCCTGTATCCATTTGTTCGGCAACCATTATGGAGGCTTTTTAAAAAATAGACCTACACTCAAATTAGTTGTTGCAATATCTCTGTGGTCATATGATTGTGATGTGGCAGCTTGAGTGCCCAGCCATTGTGACCGTCCCTACTGGATTTCAGAAGCAATCATTCCTTAGTGTAACTGTATAAAACAGTGGTTCTCAACCTTTCTAATGCCGTGACTCCATAATACAGTTTCCCATGTTGTGGTGACCCCCAAGTGGGTGTGGCCACCAATAAGAGGGAGTAGGACAGCTAGGGAAAAGGGAAAAAAATGGCGGACAGCATGGTTTGGCGACCCCCGTGAAATGGTCGTTCGACCCCAAATGGGGTCCCGACCCACAGGTTGAGAACCACTGGTATAAAACAACCATTAGCTGTTTTCTATATGTAGAGATGATTTTAAAAAAAACCTTTCAGGTATTTTTAATTAAAACTGTTATTACACCCAATCAGTATGGTCAATAGTAAACAATTTTGGGAGGTTTCTAAAACTTCTTCCTTTATGGAGCCCGTAATAGGCTTGTTGGATGATTCAACTGGATATATATGTCCTTGGAATAGTCATCATGGAATAATTTCTCTCTCGCTCTGCAGATGAAGAAGAGAATAGGAAAGGGGAAAAGCGAAAAAGAGAGACAGATGATGAAGGGGATGAAGATGATGACTAAAGTCTTCTGTGTCTCCAAAGGACTGTTGAGTATTTCTTGGGGTACCCCTTGGATGATCTGTGACTTGAGGAGCACGTGTGGCGCACCTGTAGTTCTCCCCCTCCAAGCGCAGCACTCAAAAAAGCCAAAGAGTCGGCTATTCCCGTGACATTCCATGTATCCTGCAGCTGATTTCTCCAGGTGGTTACAGACCTAGCCTTCTTGGGCTAGCACCTTCCCTTATCCTTTTGGGGGTTCCCAGGCCTTCATCTCTTCCCATTGCCCTAGCAAGAAGAACAAGTGTGATGGGCCAGTCCTGGCTATAGGGGCTCCACACCACCCACTGACTGTACTTCCCTTTTTACTCTCTGTGCAACAAGGCTTTGTAAATAGAGTCCTAAAGTTTTGGGGACTGTTCTTCATGCTTTGCTTTCCCTGCCTTCTTTTTCCTTTTCTAAGCCGTTGGATATTTTTTACATTAGGATGTTTTATGCAACAAACAGAAAAAGTATTTTTAAGAACTTGAATTAAATAAACGTTATTTGATAAACTAATCTTGCAGTTATTATAATTCAGAGAGATTTGAAAATCTGTGCCTTTTTATTTTTTTGCTTAAAAGTTGGTAGACAGGGTTGTGAATATTCCGCATTTGTGAAATAAAACAAAATCTGGATTCTTGGATCTATGAAGGTTGTTTAGGTTAGGTAATTTATTTTGCTAGGCAAATAAATAACCCAAGAAGCCTTGCTTCATCTTTCTCCCCAGCTTCACAGATTGCTGTGTAACTAGTACAATTCACAGCATAAGTAAATTTAGAAAAGTAAATTTTAGTAAATTTGACTTTTGATGCTAATATGCTTCCAGCTTGTTGAGTGATCAGTTCCAGACTTGGAAGATTTTAGGTGTTCACAAAGGTTTTTATCTAGATGTGTTACTTATTCAAATATTATTGTTTGTAGCCAATGGTTGTAGTTTTTTTAGCTATTTTGCATAAGTATTTCAAATAGCCAAATACCTTTTCTATTAATTATCACCTTTCTTCAGCATATCCCAATAAGGACCAGCTCCATTACTATACTAGCAGTGGTCATAAAAGGGTTTTTGTTTTTTGTTTTTTTGCAAAGCCATGCTAACATTATAATCCTATGCATATATGATAGCAATAGTTTTTATTGTGCCCAGAGGAATTTGCTGCCCTGTATAAAGGATTCTGGCTTAATGTCCATGTTTCAATATTTGATAGAAATAATACATTCAGTAGTAATACTTGGTTGGCAGTGTTCTGATCAAAAGGTGAATTCTGGAATCTGTGTAAGTGAAATATCAGAGGATGTATTTCTAAAGTTTCTTTAAATACATTTTGCAATCCTGCCAATCAGCAGTTTTGTTGTAAGGGAAGGTTCTAAATCTAGCATTATTAAAAAGCCATTTGATTGAATGTCATCTTTAAGGGGGAAAAAAAGATACATACATGGATTAAAACTGTTGAGGTGTCATTGATGACGTATGACGTGTGATTAAACAATAGTAAAATACTATTGTGCACTAGTAACTGGATTTGGTTACATGGTTGGTATAAGTATTAACAATGCTTAGCTTTTCCAAAATCATTCCTTGTATTTATTAAGTACAAGCCTTGTCATTCTTTCATATATCCCCAATGGCGTTTCAGTTTCCTTGCTTTTTAAATCACTGTAATAGGAAAAATACCACCACCCATATATCTTTAAATATAGTTAGGCACTATTTAATAAAGCATAATCAGTATGTCATCACTATATAGATTTTTCTTTTCTTTCCCTCTGCCTCAGAAAGCATACATGACTAAAATGTTGGTCTGCATGTACTATTTCAAAAATGTTTTTAAAAACAAGAGTAATTTTTAAAAATAACTTTCAAGTGCTAATTTGTTTTATACAAGTCTCTTGGTAAACAGAAAAAAAAGCAATACGTATATACATTTTTCAAGTAGATTTGGGATTCTTCAACCCCTTTGATAAATGGCTAACGTTGATCAAAGCAATACATAAAAATATGCAAAAAAAATCAAAAAGTACACATTAAAAATGCATTTTAAACCCTTTCCCTTTATCTTAAGCTGACAAATACTTAAAATAATTTATTTGCCTGTAAACAAGATAAAAGACAAATTCCCAAATTGCAAGCTATCATCCTTAATCCAATAATGTATCTTACCCTTTTGTTTCTGTAATTGGCAGCATTTCTCCTTTTGCAACAAGATGTTGCACATGTAGTTTCCCAAACATCTATCAGCTCATAATGTATTAATAATAAAAGATGGATTCATACCAATTGGTTGTTTAGTCTACATTCAGTCCCATTTTCCAAAAATATAAAGCAGTATATCTCATATATCCGAGATTAGCTGCGGAAAATAGTGATTCTAATATTGTCTGCCCTACAAGGTAGGCCAAATCAGGAAACTGACCCCACAGGAAGGTTGCAGCTATACTGTACTATACGTACTCTTTTTGTGATTAGCCTGTAACAGTAGAATCTTACAAGTCTGATTGTTTTCCTTCCCCATGTTTTATCCCTCTTTGCTTAGATAACGGTTCTGGCCTCTTCCCCAAGGCCATCTTTCTGATTCTCTACAATTATGCCCCAAGTTATAATTTCAAGACATGTTATGATTCATCTGGCTAATTTCCTAAATAATTGGAATTGCTTTAATGTCTTGATCACAACTGTAACCTATGCAAATGTATCAGTTGTTCTTAAGAGTACGAATTAAAATCCCACAAGCACTTAATACCAATTACTGGGATTAGTACAGAGGCCAATTCATTTTATATGCCTAAAGCTTGTTAAATATAGAAGTTCCATGATGCCTTTTGTGCCATTGTGAATATTCTTTTAAAAGTATATTTAAGCAACACCAACTATAACATTAGATTATAGAATGTGAAATCTCAGGGATCTACAACTCTTTTTGAGTTTTTCCCCCCTTATACATATTAACTTTAACCCAAAATATGCCATTTCCTTCTGCTATATAGGTCGTCTTCAACTTACAACTACAATACGACTTTTCTTGTCACAGCTGTTAAGTGAATCACTGCAGTTGATAAGTTAGTAACAAGGTTAAGTGAATTTGAGTTCCCCATTAACTTTGCTTGTCAGAAGGTCGCAAAAGGTGATCATATGACACCGGGACATTGCAACCATCATAAATGCATGCCAGTTGCCAAGCACCTGAATTTTGATCACGTGACCATGGGGATGCTGCAGTGGTCATAAGTCAATTTTTTCAGTGCCGTTTAACTTTGAATGGTCACTAAATGAACAGCTGTAAGTTGAAGACTACCTATATGTACATATTAGCTATGAGATGGGTTCCTGCTCGAAAAAGCAATGGGGAAGTGAGGGGCAATAGCATAGAAAAAAAAATACAGGAAAGACATGCTTGGGCAATTTTATCAACCCACTAGGGCAGCGACCCCCAACTTTTGGGCTCCGGAGACTGGTTCTGTGGAGAGGTTTTCCTATGGACCGGAGCGGGTGTGGTTTTATATGCTGCCTGCATCCCTCGGATGGGACTTTGCTTGTTTGTGCAGCCTGGTTTCTGGCAGACCACAGACCGGTGCCAGTCCATGGATCAGAGGTTGGGAACCCCTGCATTAGGGAATGTCACAATTTAACAATGGATTAAAAGAAATGATTTAACTTTGGTCTTGAAGGAAAAAGAGGATAAAAGAGAACTGTAAGAGAAAAGAATGTTAAGTTCTATAGGCTAAACCATAAAACACAGAAGCAGTACAGAGGGAGGGTGAACAGTGGTATTTCTGTATTAAATGTTTATACAATATTCCTCAGTTTGATTACAGCGCAGTCTTCTGGTACTAATTCTAACTTCCCAATTTCTATTTTTTGGGGAGTTTCTTTAAATCCTGCACAAGTATCTTAACTCAAACTCTAAAAGTAATTGTATCTTACAATTTTATTATGTCTGGTGCAGCTTTAGGTATGTTTTTTTTCTCCAAATTTTTTCAACCATTTTGTACATGAACATTTTCAGCATTCATGATTGAGGAGAAATTTATGTTAGCAAAAGTCATCTACCCCCCTCCCCCATCTTGGGCTTCATAATCTTTGGAGTAGTTGATCCTGCTCTCAAACCATTGTTGGTGGCAGTGCTTTGCATAGTGTATCATAGAAATCAGCAAGGAAACAAACATGAGATGAAATATTAGTCATAGGCATCAAAACAGCAAGTGTAAAGTGTGAAAAAAAGGTTTTGCAATTTGACAGTTGTGGAAAATGAGTTTCTGATAAACAGGTTGATAGAGGATTATCAGAATTATGTTTCTTCACACTTCTGGATACTGAACTGCAATATGCCTTATATAAGATCTGGTGCAACATTCAGAGTAATAAAGGAGGAAAGATTTGGTGAGTAGAAAATCCAGCTTCAGACAATTGGAAGAAAGCCATCTTAAGAGCATTAGTAATTCAATTCCTACTTGGTTTAAGGCATGAAGTGATCCTTAAGAGATTATGGATAGAGATGGAAGACACATTGACTTGGTCTACAGAACCCTTCCACTCTGGCTCTGATAAGACCACTTCAGCAGCAGTGGTTTTATTTTCTCCGCCTCAGTAAAAAGCATTCATTTTCAAAGCGTGGCTCTCAGAAGCATCTATTTCTGACTTTCTTTTTAAATTAATGACATCTATTTCTTTGGTCCTTACCTCCTAGGCATAAATATAATTTTAGAAAGCGATGACTCATAAAACCTAAGAGACAGTGATGGTTTAGATTCCCACATAAACTCCCCTTGGTTATAGGAAACAAAACTAATTCAGTGCAAAATCATTCGTGATCCATCCAAGAATGCAGAGCAAAAAGAATCCTGAACAATTCCTATTTTGGTTCATCACCATGTGAAAGAGTTGAGTGCTAAAGTCCAAGCAACCGTATTTCCAAGTTCAGTTACCTACTGGGGACTGAAAGGATGTTCATACCCAGACAGGTCTGCCTTCACTTTGAAACACCTCCAACTGAGTTATCATGGGACTACTTTGAAACATGGAGTTTCCTGCAAAGAATGAATCCGATAAATAGAGCATCACAAAACCCCCAGTAACGTCCAGTAAATTCCAGCTTACAGGATATGGGCACTCATGGTAGGCAATAGATTGCCAATAAATCTGAAATTCTCCTAATCTATAATTTCCAAAATATAGTAATTTCTGGCAACATCTGTTCTGAGACTCCAAATGATAGCTTGTCAAAATCGGTGAGAATCCACACGAAGGTTTTTGATCTCAAGCTGTAGCTGTTTGATCTGGATATCCCGCTGGATCAGCACTTCACGGAGCCGCCGAATTTCTTCTTGCTGTCGATAAAACATCTGTAGCAGCTGGAAAGTAAAGACTTCATATGTCATTTGTGCAGTCATACATTAAACTCATCTGATGTCTACGTGAAACTACAGAGTCAAGAAAGAGAAAATGACTATGATGAAAATTTAGACACAAATATGAGTATCCCAACATGAAAATGGCATGCTTATAAAAGAAAGTGCTATTT